TCAAGTTTCAAGTTGGTGTTTTCCATTTGGTTGGAAAATTCCTGACTGGCTCTAATAAAGAAGAATTAATTCTTGACTATTTAGTTACCATTGCTTTTCTTGTTCTTTTTTTTTTTTTTAACTTTCCATTATGTCTTAGCTGCCATGAATAAAACCCTTCAGCATTTAACTTCTCAATAATGATCCTTTTGCATTCTCTGGTACCAAGTAATTTGGTACATCTGGACTTCAGAGATCCCCCCAATTTTTTATATATATTTGTGTAATTTTTTACTTGAAAAGACATCATAATTCAGTGTCTGGTCACTGTAGAGGGACCCAGGAGAGAACTATGTTATATTTCTGGTTCTGCCATGGATTTGTTGTGTATGACCTTTGGGAAGTCACTTCTCTTTGCACTTGTGTCCTGCCATGCAGCCCTTTCCTAGTTGGATTATATGCTCTTCATGACAGGGACTTTTTCCGATGTATCTGCAGAATGCCTGCCACAACAGAAAGCAAATCCAAGTTATGGTCTCTGGGTGTTACTTTAATAAAAATGAAGACAAGTTTAGGACATCCCGTGTCAGTCGGCTGTGTAATATCAGGGTTTGTTCTGCATGTGTCAGCCTTGCAGGAGCATATCCTGTCATTTAAGGCTGTCTTTTTGATATGGGATCTGAGAGCAGGTCCCTCAAGCAAGAGTCATTCCCAGCAGGAAAGAAGCTTACTGCACCTCCTATGTGACTGCAAACACAAGACTCCTTTTCAGCTTGCTGAACAAGCTATTGTTGCCAATTGATCAGAACGGTTCCAGTTCACCTTCCAGCTATAGCAATGTTCAGGATGGACACCTGATGGGTGAAAGATGGACCTGTGGCTAAGGACTAGGACTGAAAGGCAGAAGATTTGGGCTTTTTACCCCTCCTTGCCTCCAGTTTCCAGTGTGGTCCTAGACTAGTCGCTTAGGGCTCCTATATACATGCAGGGAGGCTGCTCCGACACGTTGTAATTCCAATCAAGTCTGCTGGAGTGTGATAATTACCGCACTCTAGCAAACTCCAGCATCACGTGTATCAGCATCCCTGTGCTGAAAAATGGCCGTGGGGTGCTTTAAGCTAAAGCTTATTCAATGAGCTTTAGTTCAAAGCGCTCTGCTGTCATTTTTCAGCATGGGGACACTGATACATGTGACACTCTAGGTGCTTTTAATTAGCACGGCTCTTGGAGCGGTGCTAATTAAAGTGCCTCTGCCTCCTGAAGTATGTCTATAAATGCCCTTAGGCTATGTTCACACCATGTCAGCACTGGGTGCTGGCTAGGATGGCCCTGGAATGCCCCACAATGTCTTGAGAATGGCTCTGAGGGACATCCCAGAGTGACCTTACAGATGTATTTCTGAGTTTGGAGCATTGATCTTTCCCTATGGAGAGTGCTGTATAAGGTAAAAGATCACTGCAGTAAAAAATGCTCTCTTCTGCTGACAGCTAAGTCCATGCTATTTCTGGGTATCAGCCGACAGACCCCACTGTATCTACAAACATGTGCTGTAGGGTCAGGGATCCCTGCAGCATTGGCTTATTTTCTTTCTTGCTTGCTTGGAGTGCCGAGCTCAAAACCAGTTGAATAATGAGACTTTTTGTCTTTCCAGATGAGTACAAGAGCAAAGTAGCCTGTGAAGATGATAAGCTGAGGCTGAGCTGTAAGAAAAGCATGGTGATAGCCATTTACTCTGCTATCTTTGGAAGGACGCAAGGAGACAGCCTGGAATGTCCCTACCAGAACCGAGGGATGCCGATGATAGGTGAGAAGGCCAGCGGGCCGTGCAGAGTGTGCAGTGTCCTGTGCTGGTGCTTGAGAGTGTCTTTGATGTTGTTGTTGTATTGTGGACCTTGCTGAAAGAATCAGCCAGTGGAGCGGTGGGGTCTTCTTCACCGTCGCTCATCCCCAGCCCCGTTTGTCTCTTCCTCTCATGGCCCATGTCACTCTTATCCATTCAGCTTTCCTCCTGCTTGGTTTCCTGTGGCTTGCAAGGGCAATGGATTTCTGTTCAAAGGCATCTAGATTCTTTAACATTAAACAAACACTTACCACCCATGGTTAGGGGCTGATTGTATGACCGTCTATCAAGCTGGTAGGTTTCTACTTGTGCACGATGGGAGGGGAATGGGCGATGCTGAGAAGCTCTTTTGGAGAGAGTTATACTGCCAGAGTGAAGGATGCTTTAAGAAGTGCAAATTATGAGCAGTAAGAATGCCTCCTGCCCCTTTTACAGCACTTCCCATCAAAAAATCTCATGCACTTACAATGCAAGTCAGTGCTCTTTATCCTCATATTCACTGATGTGGAAACCAGGGTGCAGAGCATGGAAGTGACTTGCTCAGTATTGGCTCAAAGCCCACATAGGTGGATCCAGGATTTTTAAAAAGGGGGTGCAAGAGCCGTGGCTGGTGCTTTAGGGGTGGTTGCACCTTCTCACTCCCAGCCTCTCCCCCTCCTTTCCCCACCAGAACAGATGGACCATGCCATGGAAGCAGAAGCTGGGTACTTTTTTTAAGACCCCAGATCAGGTAAGTATCTCCCCCCACCTCCCTTGACACCCTCTACCTTCCCCTCCATGCTCAGCACCACCTCCCCTTCTCTCAACTTACATCTCTGGGCCCAGGAAGGGAGACCCACCTGACATCGCTGCTGTCCCAGCCACTCCTGCCCTGCTCCAGTCGGGGCTGTTTGGAGCCACTCTGTGAGGACCTGGGCTCAGCCAAGACAGTGATGGGAGCAGACAGGTTCCCCATTCCTGTATGTGCTCCCTGCCTTTTGGGGAACATCTGGGAGGACTGGGAACAGAGGGGGAACCTGCCTGCTGCCACTGCTGTTCCTGTGCAGCTTTGTTAGAGTGGGGTAGGAGCAGCTCTGGAGCTCCCCCAGTACCAAGGTCAGCTGCGGACAGCTGGACCCGATGGTCTGCAAGGTCCCTTCCAGCCCCTAACGATCTAGCTAAGAACATAAATGCATGCATTTTACTAACAATCTGTCTAGCTAAGCAGTGTGTGGGGGAGAGGGGTGTGGGAGAGGAGGGGAGGTGCCACTGAGCATGGAGGGGAAGGAAGCGGGTGTCAAGAAGGTGGCCGTTCTTCCTTGCTTTGGGGACTTATACACATCCAACTGCTGCTCCGGCAGCCTGTTGTGAAAGGGGGTGCAACTGTGCCACTGCACCCCCTCTAGATTTGCCTGTGGCCAGCACCGAGCCAGGTCTCCTCACTCCATGGGCACTGCCACACCCTGGCGGGACCCATCTCCTCCATAATGGAAGTAAACATACCGTGTTTGTCCTTTTCTCTTTGTCCTGCCTCAAAGGAACCGCGCGAGTCCCTAATGCAGGTTGCTTGGCTTGAACGAGGGTGTGAGTTGCACAGGAACTCGGTTTTCCTTGGGTCTGGGATTTGTTTGAAATGTCTGGTGCCTGTTCTATAACCAGCCTTTGTATGGCATTTGGATGCTATTCCAGAGCCAGCTCGCAGTTTGGTCCTTCTCTCATCAGCCAGCTGAAATTGCATGAAAAACTAGTTAGCTGCAACAATGTTTGAAGTCAGTTAAGTTGTGGTTCCCAGGCTCATTTTGAATCCCAGTGGGGAGCCAGTCCCACATGCAGATTTGCATGTGCCTACACAAGTGGTAT